TCACTGAGGGTTAATCCAGCCTCTGGTGGCTGTCTCATTGACAGCCGCTAGAGGAGCTTCCGCGATTCTCACTGTGAAAATCACAGTGAGAAGACACTGAACTTCCATAGGAAAGCATTGAGTAATGCTTTCCTATGGGCAGTTTAAATGCGCGCGCGCCTCTTGCCGCGCATGTGCATTCGGAGCTGTGAGGCGGAGGGATCCCCAGTGCCAAGGGAGTCCGACGCTGGAGAAAGGTAAATGCTGAAGACACACACACTCTCACGAACAGACGCATACACACTAGCTAACAGACACACACATTTACTGACAGAGACACACTCAGTGACAGACATACATACACACTCACTTACAAAACATACACTTTCACTGACAAACACACACTCACTAACAGACATCAAATACACTCAGTAACAGACACACACAGTAACACCCTAGCAGACACATACCCAATAACAGACACACTCACTGACACACACACTAACACATACACACAAACACTAACACACACACACAAACACACACACACACACACACACTAACACACACGCACACACTAACACACACACAAACACTAACACACTAACACACACACAAACACTAACACACACACACACACACTAACACACACTACCACACACACACACACACTAATACTAACACACACACACTAACACACACACTAACACTAACACACACTAACACACACACACTAACACACACACTAACACTAACACACACACATTTTTTAAAAAAATGTAATCCCCCCAGCCTCCTTACCTTTTGGAGAGCTGAGGGGATTCCCTGGGGTCCAGTGGTGCTGCTGGGCTGGCTGGCGGGCTGTCTGGGTGTCCGGTGCACGAGGGAGCATTCTCCTCTGTGTGCTTCCTCTTCAGCTCCCTCGCACGCCGCATAGGGATGCCGGCACCGGAAGATGACGTCATCTTCCGGCTCCGGTATCAGTGCGGTGTGCGAGGGAGCTGGAGAGGAAGCACACAGGGGAGAGTGCTCCCTCGCGCACCAGCCACCCAGACAGCCAGCCCGGGTCAGCCACGACCCCTGCGACCCTGGTATGTACGCCACTGTGTGTGTGTGTGTGTGACTGTCTGTCTGTGACTCTGTGTGTGACTGTCTGTCTGTGACTGTGTGTGTGTGTGACTGTCTGTGTGTGACTGTCTGTGAGTGTGACTGTGTGTGTTTGTGACTGTCTATCTGTGACTGTGTGTGTGTGTATGTGTGACTGTCTGCCTGTAATTATGTGTGTGTAACTGTCTGCCTGTGATTGTGTGTATGTGTGACTGTGTGACTGCCTGCCTATGATTGTGTTTGTGTATATCCGTGATTATGTGAGTGATTGTGTGTATCTCTGTGTATGTATTAAGTACGTAGCTCCCTTATTTGGTGACTGTGTGCGTGACTGCCTGTGTGTGTGTGTGTGTGTGAGACCATCTGCCTGTGATGGTGTTTGTGTGTGACTGTCTGTCTGTGACTGTGTGTGTATGTGTATGTGTGACTGTCTGCCTGTGATTGTGTGTGTAACTGTCTGCCTGGGATTGTGTGTGTGTGTATGTGTGTGTGTGACTGTGACTGGGTGTGTGTATGTGTGACTGTTTGCCTGTGTGACTATCTGTCTGTGATTGCGTGTGTGTGTGACTGTCTGTGACTGTGTGTGTGTATGTGTGACTGTCTGCCTGTGACTGTGTGTAGTACTGTGTGCATCTGACTGTGTCTGACGGTCTTCACCCTGCAGTGAGACGGCAGCCAGGATAAGGTGTCATCGCGGCATCTGCGGCATTACAGGGCATGCGAGGGACCTGTGCAGGAAGAGCACAGAGATCCCAGCCGTAACCACTGACCACCAGGGTCTGAGGATCCACTCCAGTCCTTCTAGAGCAAGGTAGGGAGGCTGGGTGGACCTCTTATTTATTAAATGTGTGTATGTATGTAATGTTTGTGTGTGTATGTGATTGTGTGTCTGTGATTGTATGTGTGTAGGTCTGTGATTGTGTTTGTGTATATCTGTGATTATGTTTGTGATCATGTGTATCTCTGTGTATGGGTTTAGTAGATAGCTCCCTTATTTGGTGTCCTTAAATATTGCAATCTAATATAAGGATAACAAGGGATTTATCTACTAAACAACTGAAAATAAGAAAAGGGCTTTTTAAATTTTGATCCTTTAGCTGTTTAGTAGATAATTCCCTGAATTGGTGCCTGTATGCGAGATTTCCATATTTAAAGATACCAAATGAGGGTGCTGTTTAGCAGATAGTTCCCTTATTTGGTGTCCTTAAATTTTGCAAGCCCACATAAGGATAGCAAATAGGGGAGTTATCTGCTAAACAAAGATCGAAGTTAAGAGGTGTCAGCCAGCCCACAACAAGAAATCTGGGTGGCTAATGTGAATTATATGCAAATGTGTTGTCAGATGTCAGCATGCAGAGCACAGTGTTTCTGCGTGTGTGTATATGTATCTGCATGTGTTTATGTCCGTGTATATGTGCAGACATCTCAAAATCTCGCCAACACTACACACAAATATACTCCTGCATTTCAACGTCAACACTACATACAAACCCCACCATTATATATAACCACATCACTGCATTCAAATACCACACAACACACAAATGCATGTTTGCATTCAAAAACCAACACTACATACAAACACACCACTACATTCACTCACAAATACTCCATACAAAAACATGCATACATTCACACACAAACACTGCTCAGTGCTAAATACATGAAAACATTTTTTGGTTGTTTTTTAAATTTAAAGCTGAGGGGAGAGGGTGCCAAAAATGGGACCCGCCCCGGGTGCCAAATGCTCTAGGTATGCCCCTTCCTATAACCCACACCTGGGATCGAACAAACTAACATAATAACATGTTCCAACTACCTTCACAAGCATGGAACCCAAATAGGCAAACACACAATATTTAGACAAGGCCACACACAAGATCATTACATACTGTCCGAATGATGACTACCAATAAAAATGCAAACTTGACGAAAGCAATAACGAACACGCACTACTAGACACCGGGGAGAAGGGGACAGAGACCCCAGGAAATAGGAGAGACCTAACGAACCGCAGGGGCCAAAGTAATGCACACATATATCAAAAAGCAATGCTCATGGAATGCACAAAACTGATACCTAGGTCGCTACAACTAATCCCCCCAGGCCAGAAAGAAACCCACCATAAGACAGGTTCCTGAGACCCGGAAGAGAGAGCACAAATCACGCAAGGGGACAGCACTAATAAACACACGAACCCTAGGGAATACTGGGACAGACTTCCCTATCTTACAAACAGATAAACCTGTCTACCCTGATAAACGGTACATAACACCCAGATCACAGGCCTGCGAGCCGAACAGCGACCCACTGATAATGTGGCCTGCGAGCCCGTAGGAATATGGTGTCACACCAGATGCATTGATATATGAAAATATGGCTGAGACCTGCGTATCTTTCTGCCAACTCTTTATGCTTGAGTTTATTTGCATTATCGACAATAAAAATCATATTTACTACTTTCGATCTCGCCGTCCGATTGGCTGCAGGCACAATGGCATGGCGCCAAACTACTCATAAAGGAGAATGGAGGAGATCATGATATACCTTCAGATTCCCCTGACGAAGTACCACTAGGACGAAACACATTGGGTGAAGAGACCCACATAGTACTTTCATTTTGTTTATAATTTGTTATTTTATGTGTATTTGAAATTGCTTTTTTTTCCTGGCTGCTTCACACTTTCTGTTCCTGACCCAGAGGGATCCTCCTTCAAGTCTGCGTTCGGGCAAAGGCATTTGTAGTGATATGCTGGATTTTCTTATACATTTTGTAAGTGCAATCATAATAAATTTAAAGTTATCATTTTATTGGTACACTATGTTGGTGTCTTTCTCTTAAATCCTTTTCAAGGACAAGAGTGAAGAGGATAAAGCTCCTTCCATCTCTAATTTTATACATGCCTGCAATCAATTATTATCCAGTGAGTGCATTTTAGCCACTAGCGCTTTTTGGTGTTTAGATTTACTGCACCATTATTCTGTTATCTCTTTCTTCATCTTTAGATTGTGTTTTTGTATGACTACCTCTGAGATGTTCTAGTCTTCATTGGGCAATAAGAGGTATATCATTAGTGAAGACTGTTTAGCAAAAAAACCCAACAACAAATCATGGTTATTTTAAATTATGATGTTACAATAGTTTGATAGCCTATACCTACAGTTTATAGTTGTAGTCTAAATTGATATCCTATTTTTATAGTCCCATAGAGAACTCTATTTTACACTTTATATATAGCATGGCAAACCTGCATGATTTGATTTTTTGTTTAGAATGACCCCTCCCTTTTTACAAGAAAGACCATCTAGTAATAGTTTGGGAGTTGGTAGTGTAGAAGGCTTGTTTTCCTATTTTTAAAATGTATGGTAGGATGGAGTTCGATGTTCTTTAAGTCAGCTTTAGGAAATGGCTGGGAATCTACGTTTTAAATGTGTATTATTGGTACGTTTGCCCATTAACTGAGCCCCAAGAAGCCTTAGGAGCTCTGAGTCCCTGGGTTCTCGCTATATCCTGGTGATTTACCAGTGGAATAGGAGAGCTGTATTCAAGTCAGAATTTAATTATTTTCATTGTTCTCAGGCACAGAATTTTGTGTACAATTAGATTGGTAACCTTAATGCCCAAAGGGTTACTCCAAGAACCATGACCACTTCAGTGTTTGGAGTCTGTTTGTGCACCGTTTCACTATGAAATACTGCACACTCAGAGCAGTGGCGGATCCAGAGCCTGATCTCGGGAGGGGCACTTGTAGATTATTTAAAGAAATAATCCAGACACAATAACCACTACAGCTCAGTGTAGTGGTTATGGTGTCAATAGTGCCGGGACCCCCTCCCACAGTAAGTAGTCAAACCGTTTAAGAACAGTTTGACAACTTACCTGAGATCTGCTGGGAAATGGGGCTGTAGTAGGGCATAGGAGCAGTGGTGTGTGTGAGTGGTGCAATGTGTAAGGGGTGCAGTGTGTGTGTGAAGGTTGTAGTGTGTGAGTGAGGGCGGCAGTGTATGTCAGGGATGCAGTGTATGTGTGGGACAGTATGTGTGTGTAACAGTTGCAGTGTGTGTGTATGGGGGGCAGTGTGTGTGTATGGGGGGGCAGTATGTGTGTATGGGGGGCAGTATGTGTGTATGCAGTGCGTGTGTATGAGGGGCAGTGCGTGTGTATGAGGGGCAGTTTGTGTGTATGGGGCAGTTTGTGTGTATGGCGGGCAGTTTGTGTGTGTATGGGGGCAGTGTGTGTGTGTATGGGGGGCAGTATGTGTGTATGTGGGGCAGTATGTGTGTATGTGGGGCAGTATGTGTGTATGTGGGGAAGTATGTGTGTATGGGGGCCAGTGTATGTGTATGAGGGGCAGTGTGTGTGTATGGGGGCAGTGTGTGTGTATGGGGCAGTGTGTGTGTATGGGGGCAGTTTGTGTGGGGCAGTTTGTGTGAATGGGGGGCAGTTTGTGTGTATGGGGGGCAGTTTGTGTGAATGGGGGCAGTTTGTGAATGGGGGGCAGTTTGTGTGTATGGGGGGGCAGTTTTTGTGTGTATGGGGGACAGTTTGTGTGAATGGGGGGGCAGTTTGTGTGAATGGGGGGGCAGTATTGGGGGCAATGTATGTGTCTGTGGCTTTTTTTTAATAATATATATTTTTTTTTATTTAATTCGAATTTAATTTTTTTATTTAATTATTTATCCGAAATATGTCCCCCCTCCCTTCTTACCTTTACTGGGGAGGAGGGGGGACATACTTCGCTCCCTGGTGGTCCGGTGGGGGATTCATTGGTGGTCCAGTGGGCTAGAGTTCACTCTCGCGAGATTTGGAGCGTTGCCGTGGTAACCGCGGCAACGCTTCAAATCACACGAGAGGAGGACCCGGAGCTGAGCTCCGGGTCCTCTCTCTCATTCCCTCCCTCCCCTGCCGGCTCTCAGCACAGTGCCTGCCATGCTGGCAGGGGAGGGAGAGGGAGACCCGTGGATTTCTCTGGGGGGGCAATTGCCCCGTTGCCCCCACCTGGATCCGCCACTGACTCAGAGTGTAACTCCACCCTTGGCAGCGTCATTGAGGTGTCATTACTGTGACTGATGTGATACATAAACATTTTGTAGAGATTGAGTCAGAGAATAGCATTATAAATGACTTCACAAGAGGCCAGAGCTAGCAGCCATACTGACAGGACATGTTTCGGAGGAACTTCTTGCTAGCTAGTGAATTATTTTGCAATAATTTTTTTATTGACTGACTTCAGCTATTCCAGACTTTGCGGCATCCTTTTCTAAAACTATGGGATGCAGGAATAAAAAATATATGGTGGATAAGCTTCCGATTACCGCTGTTATCTGAAAATTGCTCTGGAGGCTGCAAAACACCCAGAGACCTGTCATGGCGTTACCTTCTTTCTTGTGTTTGTGGTGAATGGGCTCAGTATGCAAAGATTTTAACAAAATAGTCACTTAATTTGAAGTCTTTCTTTATTAAACAAATGGCATTAACTGAAAGGTTCGAGAACAAAACCAAATAGAGTAGGATCAGGACTATCAAAACAAAATAAAGTCTTAGTAGATTTCCTATAGTGAAGACAATGTAGTCCAGGCACTCAGGGTCTTTTTCAAACACCCGTTTTATTGGAGAAGCATGGCAAATACAGCAGCGTTTTGATCCACACTCTTGACTTATAGCTGCATGCACTACATTGTCTTCACTATATGGATTGGGAGTTTGTCAGCCCTAGTATAGTGAACCGACGTCTACAAGTGATGAGAGTGCGGATCCCTCCTTTGTTTGCAATTAGTAGATTTCTAAGACAGGATAAGCAAACAATATAATATAGAGCATTTGGCTGATTAAACAAATAGGCAAATATTTACCATAAGGTCCAATACTGGTCCAGGGTGGCAGGGATTAACCAAGGCAATTACGGGCAGGTAAGAGTTTTCAAAGAAAAGCTTAAGCTGGTAAGGGTTAACAAAGGTAAATCCAAGCTGGTAAGGGTTAACAAAAGCAAAGGAACCTTGTGATCTCTAGGAAGTCCACAAAACAACTGAGCACAGAACCCAGGGTTGTCTGTGATTAAATAGGGAAAAGGGAGTAGGGACATTACTACAAGGAGGGTTCTCTGGGCATATAAAATCAGTGGGCACCTTTAGTACAGGTAGTCTTCCATATGCCCTATGTGGGCGGAACAGTATGACCGTTTTGGACATCCAACTGGTTGTTTCCCACACTGCCTTTGAATAAGTTACCACGGATCCTCCAGGATTCTGATACCTTAGTGGGACCAATCCCTCAGGACTTAGAATGTCTGCAAGGCCTTGGAAGTAGCCTGCACTCTTCAGAAGCTTGGGTGGTCTGTCAACGATATGGGGCCACAATGTTCAACGCACTCAAAGCTATAGCCCATTGTACACTTTAAATGATTAGCTAACTAATTTTCTCACAGGTTATAGTAGGTGAAGACCAAGACACAAAGCTCAGTCCCACAGCCACAGAAAAAGAGACAACAGTCTCTTCAACAAAATTGAAAATGAAAGTAAAAATAAAGATTAAGGGGGGGCGGAGTTAGCGGCCGAAAAGAGCAGACGTGCTGCAAGAGCGCTCCGCTACGACAAGCCTGAAAAAGATATTAAACAAACCTAAAATCGCTCGTTTTGCAACAAAAACGCATTGCCAGTATGGGGAAGAAGTCCAGACGCCAGGGACCCGTCAAACCAGCGGGATCCCAGGACATTGGTGATCTCCTACTCCGGCCTTCCAGGGCCTCAGGCACGGCCGCACCTAAAGAAAATGGCGACTCGCTTTCAGCCTCCTCTGAAGAACGGGCTATGGACGAGCTGGACGAGATCCCAGCCGCAGGGGGGCTCCATTACACATCCTCCGATGAGGATAATGAATTGCCAGCTACCAAGGCCAACATTAAGGCGCTCCTCCGCAACATCCGAGGGCTATTTGCGGCAGATATCGCCGTAGTGCGAGAAGACATGCACAAAATGGAGGGACGTGTTACTGCAGTCGAAATTGAGGCACAGGGACTCTCCTCCAGATGCCAAACAACAGAGACCCTGACAGCAGAGCTCCATAAGCCCAAGCACAACTTATCACTCGAATGGACACTATGGAAGACAGGCACAGGTGCAGAAATATTAAGATCAGGGGCATTCCTGAGTCAATCACGTCCGGGGAGCTGCCCCATTATGCCAGGAGGCTGCTGAGCACCATACTAAACCCCAGGCAGAGCAAACAAGTTCTGGTGGACGGGATATTCCGCATACCTAAAGCTACGAGGGCACCAGCGGACTCCCCAAGGGACGTTATCGTCCAGTTCCAGACAAGATCAGCGCAACTACAAGTAATGGCGGCAGTGAGGGGACAGCCTGCTTATTCCTTCGAAAACACTCACCTCGTATTCTTTCAGGATCTATCCAGACCTACACTGTTATGGAGAAGCCAGTTTAAACCTCTGACCTCGACACTACGCACCCACTCAATCCCATACCGTTGGGGCACCCCCAGGAGCCTGTTCATATCGCAAGGAGAGAAAAGCTTACGACTTACCACAGCCGCAGAATCAGACGCAGCGCTCCAGGCCTTGGGCCTAAAGAGCCTTCTGGAACAGAGGGCGCAGGTACAGGGGCGGAAAGCACCACATAATTGGGACATTGATAGGCTCATACCGTTCCAACCATCTGGAACCCACAAGACAGGCCAGGCCCCCTCCGGGGCAAATTCAACCTCCAGTAACCCAGGGAGGAAGGAACAGCACAGACCAAGTACCTGAGGAACTGAACTCGTTCAACCTTATTTAAAAGCCTGCCCTGCCCCTCCCTCCCCTCCCTAGCAGGAAACAAAGTGTTAAGTTTGAGGTTCCACAGTTCAGTGCTCGGCAACAAGGTGCCTTCACCTACAAATGGGAACAAACACACCTGCTCATATACGAGCGCTTAACGTGGCGAAAGCCAAAGCAAAATGTGAATCCTTGAGTCGCTGGTACCGATCCCACGGCGCTTGCAGTGGTAGCCTAGTGATTGTTTCCGATGGTCTTCAAGGACACTCATCAATATGAAAACTTGAAGGACTTGTCCCTTAATAGTACCTTACACCTTCTAAACTGCAAAAGGACACATTGTACTGTAGATATTTGATCGCCTCATTTTACATATATGTCCCAACCTGGAAGTGTACCTGTATCAGTTGAATTTAATTTACCTAGTTTGAATTTAGTTGAACTTAACTTACTTATGCATGACAACACATACAATACCACATATAAACCAAGGGTACTTACGCGGCACTCGGACCTTATTGGTCGTACGGTGTGGTATTGCCATGGCAGAGGAAAACAAGTAATGTAAAGTAAGACATGTAAGACAGAAGGCCTGCTCTGAGCCACGTGGAGGGGCAGTTGACATTTTCCCCGCTTATTGAAACACATCACAACCAACACAGTCCACACATAGTGGGGCGGTAGCCTGTGAATTGTCCTCACACTTCGAACCTACGATTTTCACAAGGGTAATACAAATAACAGCAAACCACCCCATGTTACCCAATAAGCACACCCAATTTCCAATAAAGGCAGAGCGGAGGGTCCATCATTACCACAGCGCTGCCCGATCTATAAACCCCCCCCCCAAGCGCAGGGTTACAGAGCACCCCACCCAGCCTACAAAAACAACAACCGAGTTGGCTGCACCCCAAACATACAGAACAGCGTACCTTAGCCTGTTTATTTTATGGTGATTCTTGCAAAACCTGTATGTATATGTTACTTACAACTCATATCACCTTTTTCCTTAACAAAAATTGTGCATTGTATGCAAACTTACCAGAATGATGTTATTGTTATTCTTTCTCATGCACCCAAAAATAAAGAATATTAAAAAAAAATAAAAAATAAAGATTAAAAAAATATGAGAACTATTGGTGTTTGACTGGTTAGGGTCGGTAGGAACTCAGCTGAGTCGATTTGCTGCATAAGTCTCCTTTCTCTGAATCACCCCCCCTTTGCAGCATGTCTCTCCTGTTTTTTCCCTCTTCAGTAAGGGTGACTCTTAGGCCCTGAGTATGGAGTAGCGTCTTTGGGTTATCAGAGGTGGACAAGGTAAGTTACTTGGTGCGCTAATTAACTGCAAGAGATCCCTCTGCGCACCAACGATATTTAATGGAATGATCTCTGAGTATTCTGGCAAATGGTGCCAGCTGCCTGTGTTCCGCGAGGGCAGAGAAGGGGATGCACTGTAGATGGACACAGTGTGGCTCTTAAAGGTCACCTTCCCCAAGTATCTAGACTTGGCCATAATAGCGGTTATTATCGCAATGTTTCTTGTAGTTGACATAACATCTCTGGGTGCTCTTGCCAGTGCAGCAGCTAATTTTCGTACTATGAAAGAGGACAGAATAGCTGGGGTATCTGCTCTGCATTGTATGCCCATCGAGGCAACTATTCTTTGGACAAATGGCAAGACTGTTCTCCACTGATCTCTTCAGGGAT